CCCCCCCTCCCCCGGTGGCGTAAGCCGCTGAACCCACCTATCTGCAACAATCAAGCACACTCCTAATCAAGGCCCTTTGTCGTCCTTTTGCTTCTGAACACTCGTGGGCCAGTACAAACAAATTGTCAGAACCAAAATATGCGCACGATCTCCTTTTGACTTTTGCAGCACTGATTTTCCCGGCTATAATTAGAACTGATGCTGATATTTGTGAACAAAACATTATGTCGCAGGTACTGCATGACCGTGGTCAGGTCGGCCACCATGAGCAATCTAAAACTAGAAATCGGGGAACACCTTAATTCTACCATTGCACAGACCCTGAAAAAAATTAATAGCATGTGTATAACAATATATCTTTTCCCTGGCAGCAAATCCCCCACAACATAATAAGTTAGTCCAGACTCGAATGTAAATAAATTGTGAGACTGTTGACAGACCCTGTGACCTAAAGTGCCCCCCCCCCCTCCCTGCCTCAAACAGGCGGCCAGATTCCGCCTGGCACTTCCTAAATTCATCTCCAGTTGTCTAGACCAGACGCCAAGCAGTGGGCATTGTCCGCGTATTGGAAGGATTTAGGTGAATTTGAAAATGTATAGTCTACTGTGGAACAATGTAAACAACGTAATTATTGTGGACAGAATAAGAGAGAAAGGAAACGGAAACGGGGGTGGGGTCGCCATTGGTCTTAATCTGGTGCAGCCCCTGCCCCCCCCCTCCTCAATCCCATTTCTTTCGGTGTTCAATTTCTTTTCGTTTCTGTTTTCTCTAATTCTTAAACATTTACGTCTCTCTTGTTTCAGTTTTCCTTTGTTTAACTCTGCTAATTATTTTCTTCCTACCTTTTTTTTTTTTTTTGGGGGGGGGGGGTCCATTAGGGAAGAACGATATTAACGCCCGACACCGACAGTCTGACCAGATCCGCCGTTTTCCGTCGGGTGCCGCCGACCATATCAACACCGGAGTTTGGCGGTCAGACACCGCCGTCTTGCAATTATGGCGTGTGGTAGAAGAAGAAAATTATTGTTGTTGTTGCTTTTGAGAAGAAAAAAAAAGGAAAACCAAGAAAAGAAGAGTTTCATTTCATCCAATCCAAAGAAAGCCTGATACACTCTGTGAATTTTATCATTTGTTTCCGCAGTTGTTGGAAGGTAGTGACAAATTCCAACAATACTATCTAATGAAACATAGCAGTTTCAATGAACTGCGAGAGATATGCAGAGCTGACCAAGAACTGCTAGAATTCTGTGTAGTGTCAGTGAGGCGGCAAAGGGGGCACAACTAAGCTGGGATAAATCATTAAAATTAACTCCCATCTCGCCCGACGGACTGTCTTCGATAGAACATGTTTTATCGGAGACGGTCTGACCGGGGACGACACATGATGTCGGGCGTCAGTATGGTAGCCGAAACCGTTTTTTGTGTGACCTTCCATTACTAAAGAGCCAGTGCTCATTCTTTTGTGCCCGAAGACGGTCTGGTCTGACCAGGGGCGAAGCGTCTATATAATCAAATAATCACTGCTCCCCTTCCTAATTTTGAAACATTGTCGCTGTCAAATTCACCCTTAAACGTAAACCTCTTTAATTAAATGTAAAAAGACGTTCGTCATCAACAATGAACAGTATGCCTAACATTCAAAACGGTTTCAAGGCCCCAGAAATAGCCTCCTCACCCCTCTCGGGCCACTCCATAAGCAGTCGCAAGCTTTGATTAAGTAAGCTTAAAGTGAGTCTGGAAGAGTCTACCAATAGATTTGAAGGGAACATGTACATAGCAGTCCAAGCTGTTTCATTGCCACATATACCCTGTTCACCCCTTTGGGGCCACAGTTAAAATCAATCTCAAGCCCTGATTATGTATGCTAACTAAAGCTGGTCGAGTCTACCTCACAAATGTGAGGGGAACTAACTCCTAATAATCTCTTGACTGCTGCGTGTGCTTGTTTTTTCCCTCGACTTTTTACCGTCCTATAATCAGATCGTGACCTCGATTATGACACCAGCTCCTGGCCGCGAAAGGCTAACAAAAACAGCCAAATGTGAAATTTAAAAAATGATAATTGTCATGTTCTTTCTACCAAAGAGTTAGACTTACTGGTAGATCTATAACATATAGATCTAGTACTGACATCTCTGTTTCTTTGCTTTGTGTTTATGTATTCACATCTAAAGTTAAATTTAATTTTAGTTGGAACTGATTTTTTAATAAGATACTTTCCCGATTATTTTGGCGGTTGAACATACAATATGAATTCCGGATTTGTTTTCATTCACAACTCAGAGTCGCCGCCTCGAGTAAGATTCTTGTGTGATATCTACAGGCCATATCTGATCCCGTTTCATTTTGATTACCCTGTCAAACAAGTCAGCCTTCGCCCCTGGGTCTGACCGTCCGTGTCGGGCGTTAATATGGTTGCGACCTTAATTTCTCTTTTCCTTTCGGTGTATTGCATTCGTTACTATGTCAGTCCCTTCAGTTTAACTCTGTACCTTTTCTCTCTTTCCGTTAGTTTCAATCTCTACTTTGCTTCTGCATTGATCATTTTTGTAACCTGTTTCCCCAGGTCGGAGTGCCACCATCGCGCGGACCAACACCCAGATCTCGGTGGCTGCCGGCGAGGACCCAGGGCCTGTCCTTGGCGAAGACGCCGAGCCCACTGCGCCAGCCCCGGCCACAGCGATGACGACACCAGCAATGTCTGCTCTCAACAGGACGGAGGAGATGTTCAGAGCAGTCACAACTCCTATCACTTCGTTTCCAGACCTTCTAACCTCCACCAGCTCTCCGCAAATGTTTGGTAAAGACTTATCATTTGATTATTCTTCTGTGGCAACTTTTCCCCCAAAAAAACCCAAAACAAAATACCCCCCTCCCACCCCACCCTCAAACAAAAAAAACAAAAACAAAGAAACAAACACACCATACCCGAATTTAACAACGTACCGGGCAGACGCTGAGTGTCTCTTTTATAAAACAGAATATTTGAACCCATGTTAGAAAACATACGTATTTTTAAAAAAATGTTAACACATAGAGCCCTCGGAATACAAAGCGTCATTTTTAAGCTGTGGCAGGCAACGATGCATTTTTTTTTCAGAACAGACATGAACAAAATCCTGTGTAGGGGGGAAAAAGTGTTCACATAAGTATTTTTTTTCTTTTGAATTTGTCGGTTTCATGCCATGCCAAGATTTTCTTGCCAGCTCCTTACCTCACATTTCCCATGTTGTGGCAAATGTCTATGTCGTACGTCAAAGCCTGAAACCAATTACATGCGTTAATGACAGATTATAAAACCAGTCGTTCATGCAAGACGTTCATTTCAGAGGTTCACACCAGACGGTACCAGACCTTTTAAAAAATAGTTTCAGCAATAGTTTTACGGCACTTGCAACACGATTATGTCATGTAAGTGTCGATGATCAGCGGTGTTACAAAAGAGTAACAAACACAAAAACAGAAAGAGGAGAGATAATTTGATAGGAAAGGAAAGGCAAATCACACCAAAGCACATGCTAATCATTAATTTATCAGACGTTCATGCCAGATTAAACAAATATCTAATACAGTCATTTCTAAACTCGTTCACAAAATAACGCGCAGCATTCCAATAGTTAAAAATCCCCCCCCCCCCTTTCTTCCCTCACCTTACTTTTCAGGACCCTCACTTGGCACGTCTGGGTTGAGCTGTCCCCGTCTCTCCGAGGCCGGACTCTGTTTCTCCATGTCCCTGCAGAACATCTATGGTTACTTGTTCGCTGCACTCCAGACTGGCCCGGGGCCAAGCAACTTTGACCTGTCGGAACTCAATAACCTTGACCCAGCGGGACCAAACTCTGACCTGCCACCGCTCGACAATTTTGACCCCTCGGCCTTCAACAACCCTGACCCCTCGGCCTTCAACAACATAGATCCTTCAGCCCTCAACAACATTGACCCCGCTTTACTCAGCAATATTGACCCCTCTTTACTCAACAATATTGACCCCTCTTTACTGAACAACATTGACCCCTCTTTACTGAACAACATTGACCCCTCTTTACTCAACAACATTGACCCCTCTTTACTGAACAACATTGACCCCTCAGCCCTCAGCAATATTGACCCCTCTTTACTGAACAATATTGACCCCTCTTTACTGAACAATATTGACCCCTCTTTACTGAACAACATTGACCCCTCTTTACTCAACAACCTTGACCCCTCTGCCCTCAACAACATTGACCCCTCTTTACTCAACAACCTTGACCCCTCTGTCCTCAACAACTTTGACCCTTCGGCCATTGACAACATTGACCCCTCTTTACCCAACACTGCCTACCAGAATTCATTCAGCGCTGACCAGTCTGCCCAAGTCGAAGAGGCCGTCTGTGCGTGAGTATTAGAAGTCATTATGCCCAGTGCACGTAGCAGAAAGTTTCAACAAATGTCACCATAATTCATGCAGTCAACATATGATAATTGATACAGTTTGATACAGCTGTAAAGGCGCCCAGATTTTCTTCCATGGAGTAGAAAAAGCTGCCATTTTCGAACACTTTGATAATATTATTTTTCAAAACCAAACCTCATTATTTGATTGTCTAGGTTGCGATCCCTTACAGTTTGTTGAAATCGAGGGCCAGTAACACAGCTTTTACGCATTGCGGGGTCATTCTTAACCTTAGCCACTAAGTATATTATTTATAGAGCCACCAGCCATTCATTTCTAGGTGCTGATTTAGACTTTACTTTATTACTACTATATGGCTCTTTTCGTCTTTGCAGACAGTCAATTTAGCTTAAGATGGTTTTAAGTTTGTCTTCATGCAGCTTCTTTCATGGCTAATTTTGCCTATGTTTGAAGCACAGATTCAGTCGCAGTGCTTGCATGTCAGTGAGGTGGATCGAAACTCTGTTTTCCCGCCGTTTTCCTTTCGCTTCTCAGTGTATTAATACTACGACTACAAATAAGAGTAATACTAGTACAAATCAAAATCTTTCTGAACCACTTATTTTTTCAATACCCTAACACGTTGCCATTGTTCTCCTGTTTCCTTTCAGGGAGTTCGGCGTGTACAAGGAGTGTGTGGGCAACAAGCTGATGGGATGTTCACCCATCATCACACTGTCCTACGACATGTTCTATAGCGCTCTCGACTTTATCTGCTCGCGAGGAGATTCCCAACGTGAGTATTCCCTGATTGTCCTCCTCTAAACAATGTACATGTACCTGTAAGTCCGATGCACAGAATCGACGCCAGTCTCCCTATTACAGGGCGCCCTAAGCCGGTTCTCTGTTTGTCAAGGCTGCACTCTTGGCGTATGTTTATTTCTGAGTTGAAGGGAAAGATTCTGTGTTGATGATCATATACGTAGAATAGATAGTGGGTGGTTGGCGGGTGCTCTGGTGTGGTTTGCTCCTTCTTTCCTACCAAACATCTATCGTTCTTATCTCCCCTCCTCCTTTTTGTAATTGTTACTCTCTTGTAACACCTCTAATCTTCGGCACTTATATGACCTTATTGTGTTGCAAGTGCCGTAAAACTCTTACTGAAACAGAAGTAAAATAGATAGCTGATGAATAATAATTGTTGAGGAAATGCTGTTGTTTTGTTGTTGCTGTTTTTGGTGATGTATTTGCGGCTGACGTTTGTCTGCTCACTTGCTTTGGGAAATACAAGTTTGTGCGTGTGTGTGTGTGTGTGTTTGTGTGTGTGTGTGTGTGTG